TGACTGCACCCTTGAACTCCTGGGCTCAAGGGATCCTCCTGCCTCAGCTTTAATAGGAAATATTCATTGACATGCATGAGAAAGAACCACAGAGTGATTACCCCAACCCCTCAATGGGATACAGAAGCTTATTCGCCATCTTGAGTTTATACAAAGATGGGGACTTAAATAGTGGCAAGACAGGTTATGGATGGGAGGGAAGACAAAGCCTGGTTAGCAAAGGCAGTCTTGTTATGTAACGACACCTCATAGGTAGCAGTCCTTGGAAAGAAGGGACAGTAAATGTTTCTTTCAGACCTGAAAAGGTGTCAGACTCTCAGTTCATCTTTCCTAGAACCAGACAAGGAAGGGCCTCAGAGAAAGCGTAGCTACATCAATGCAGATTTCCTCTATAGATGCCGATCTCTCCACAAATCAGCTTTTGGTTATTCTATTTCCAGCCATTCTGAACAGCCACCTTGAAATGTGTCAAATAAGTATATTTTGGGGTGAAATACTTTGGTTTTCTTCAAGTTCTTGGGCTGGGAAACGTCTTTCGGTGCATCTCTTCTCTCTAACCCCATCTAAAGCTTTCAGTGAACATGGATCCCCTCTCTTATCTCTGCTTAAGGACAGCCGAGGAGCTCATAGCTGGGGAGTGAAATGTCAGTGGTGGTATTTCAGGCACCCGGAAGTGGCTAATGGAAGCCGAGTTTCCTTCTGGTGCGCCCAGAGCATGCTGTAAAGGAAGCTCTCAGCTCTAAGTGGAGAATCCTGGCCGGGAGTGCGTAAGGAGGGGACAAAAGCCTGTGCCCCACACTGGGCACCAGTTGCTTTTCATGTTTTCTCATTTAATCCTCAAAACAACTCCTCAAGACAGAGTTTCTGATGCCCATCTTACAGATAAAGAATCAGAAGCTCAGAGAGAGCCTTGAAGTTACATGAGCTCCTCTACTGGAGGCCATCAGTGCAGTGTGGGAACTAGAGGCATGGTGGTGGTGGTTACTGACGTGCAAAGTCCCAGAGCTTCCTCGTCCTTGCTCCAGCGTACCAGGGAATCAAGCCGGTATTAGGACAGTTTTCCCTGAGTTTCCGTTTACCTTATGAATTCCATCATGCCGCTCTGCCACACGCAAAAGCTCCCCGACTCCCCATGAGAGTCTATCCCACGGAAAATGGGACACAGGAAAGGTCAGGAAAGACAGATGCGGGATCCACACTGGACATCTTTGCTGTCGATCAAGGCTGCAGGCAACAGAGTCTTCCCTAAAGGAGAGACCTTCCCTCTCAGTGTGGCTCAAGGAGTGGGAGGTGGGAACAGGGGGAGGGACCTCTTCGAGGTCTCCTTTAGTTTGAGGATGTCTGTATTTCGGAAAAGAATTCCCAGGATGAGTGTCTCAGGGACGCTACGGAATGGTCCCCCATAAAGGACCCAAGATAGGGCAGCCCTGCCTGGGCAGGAGTGGGGTGCAGAAAGCCCTTGAGGGAGCACGGCCGCAGAGAAGAGGCCCAGGCCGGCCAAGACCGCGGAATGCGGGACCCGAGCCAGGGGGAGGTGGGACCGAGGACTGCGCGCCCGGCCGAGCCGCCTGCAGCCTCGGCCAGGTTCAGGGTCATGAGGGGAGGGAGGCGGGTGGGATGGGGAAGGAGGGCGCGGGAGGGCGCGGGAGGGCTTCCCGCCCCGAGGAGGCCAGTCCACGTCGGGTGGGGAGGAGCCGGAGTTGCTGGAGGGGGCCCAGGAGGTGGGGGTGGGAGGAGGTGGGGACCGCCCGCGAGAAGAGCGGGAAGAGGCGGACAGCGAGGCCAAAATTTCAGCTGCGGGACGGCCAGGGGAGACCTCCAGACACAAGGAAGGACGTGAGAAGGGGAAGTGGGCTGGGGCGGCCGCCGGGCAGAGGGGCAGCTGCGCGGGTGGAATGAGGAACGCCTTTGCACTAAGGCAACGACCCTGGCAGCTCTTCACTGAGGGACCTCGGTTTCCACATCTGTGGCCTTCGGGTCCCAGGACGGACGGGGCTCTCCAGGATGGTCAGCCCCTCCGGGTGGCCTCAGTCATGCATCAGGGAACGGATCAGAAAGGCTGGGAGAGGGGTCGTAGGGAAGGCCCAGAAAAAAGAGAAAGGAGGGAAGATTTTGCCTGAAGCGGGAAAGCTAAGGGCCGGGGGGATGGGGGGTGGGGGTGGTCTAACCCCCCCCACCCCCATTCCTAAGGACTGGGGTAGGCTGGTGGCCACGGCAGCCCTGGCGCCGGAGGGTTAGGACTCCAGCGGCCTCCACCCAGCCGGGCCCTCCCACGTGTTTGGGTCCAGGCTCTTGCCCTTTCCCCACCGCTGTCTAGGCCGGGAGAATGGGGCACCCCATGGGAGCAGGGGGATTCTAGAGGGGGGAGAAGCTGAGCCGGGAAAGCAGAAAGGGGGTCCGGGGACTGCAGGGAGGAGAGGGGGTCGTGCCGGAGACCCAGGGAGAGACAGTGAGCCAGATGAGGAGTGGAGGGTGGGAGTGGGCAGAGGATTGATTCCAGGCGTGGCAGGGAACTTTGCTAAAACTGCAGGCCCCAGGGAACAGCGCAGGCAGGGTGGGAGGGAATAGAGAGGACCAGGCAGACCCCAAGGCCAATTTGGACAAAGAGCCATTTCCCAGCTCCTTCGCCTCCGCCCAGGGTTCTGCTGGCCTGGCTCTCCGGGGCAGGGCGTGGGAGGAGGCGGCTTGGGCTGGCTCCGAGAACTGAGGGGCGCACACCCGCTCCGCAGGACCGGGGTGACACGGAAGCATGCGACGACTGCTGATCCCGCTGGCCCTGTGGCTGGGTGCGGTGGGCGCGAGCAGCACCGGGCTCACAGAAGCCCAGCAGCGGGGCCTGCAGGTGGCCCTGGAGGAATTCCATAAGCACCCGCCCGTGCAGTGGACCTTCCAGAAGATCTGCGTGTACAGCGCCGAGGACACGGTGAGTAGCATGGCCCCTGCAGAAGGGGAGGGTCGCACCAGGGAGACAGGCCCATTCCCAGAAGCAGGACAGAAATGCATGGGCTCTGAGCGCGGGGCCCTCTGGAGAAAGGCCCCAGGATAGTCTGCTGAGATGTGACTGTGTGAGGGAGGCACGGGTCACACCAGGGCTTGCTCTGGACACTCAGCTGGCCACTAGCCATCCTCTGCCTGCCTGTCCACAGCCCTTCCCAGCTGGAATATTTGTGAGGCTGGAATTTAAGCTCCAGCAGACAGACTGCCGGAAGGAGGACTGGAAGAAACCCCACTGCAAAGTCAAGCCCAATGGGGTGAGTGAAGGGGTATGAGTGATGAGCCTCCTAAGAGGTGGAATGGCTCAGCCTGAGCCCCAGGCTGTGAGGGTGGTCGAGCTGGGGCCTGGCAGGCAGGGAAAGGGTTTGGTTACCCCTGGACTTACCTTCATCATAGCAGGGCTCACCTGAGTTCCTCTCTCAAGCTTCAGGGCCTGGGTGGAAGGAGCCCGCTGTGTAAGGGTGTGTCTGGTGCCCTTGTAGACTAGCCAGGCTCCAGTCATCAGCCACGGTGGGGGCAAACCCACCACCATGGGGGCGATACCTGGGCAGGGACTGCAGTGACTGTGTTCTAGTTCCTGCCCTGTGAGCACCACCTGGGCTCTGTATTACAGGTTCTGTAAAGGCCCCAGTTCTCTGTCGGCTAAAGGAGGGTGCTGGATTATAGCAATGATTCACCAACCTCAAATCAAATCTTACAAGAAAATGTAAATAGAATAGGTGACAGTTGAGCTGCTCTGGAGGAGTTGGGTGGGAAGAACCCATCGGAGGAGGATTCTTGCCTTTGCAGAGCACAGGCACACCCATCCCCCACACTCCTGCACACAAACCACAGACAACCTATCTGGGAAGGACTCCTGCCTGCACACACACGAAATTTCCATAGTTTGAAAGCTGCATGGTCCCGGCTTCCAACATTCTGGGGTGGGCTGTGCCTGAAACCCGCTGGCCTGCATGACTCCTTACCCCTGGGCTCGAGGGCCTAGCTGGGAGCTGGTCCCATAATAGGCAGCCTTGGCTCCCACCCTCATGATGCCCAGGCCTCCCTCACCCCTTTCCTCTGCTCATTCTTTGCTCCCCTCCCCAGAGGAAGCGGAAATGCCTGGCCTGCATCAAACTGGGCTCTGAGAATGAGGTTCTGGGCCGGATGATCCACTGCCCCACAAAGACACAGGTTCTGCGGGTAAGAAGGGGCAAAGCTGCAGAGAGGCTGGGACGGGTCTGGGAAGACAGATGGAATCTTGACCTATGCGCCAGTCACGAGACCGAAGCTTGGCTGGATGGGGAGAGGGGGAAGTGGGGGCTAGAAGGTGCTGTGCCTGGTCCGGACATTCTCCAGGGGATATAGAGGTGGTCCCTGCCCAGGATGCTGGCAACCCTCCACCAGCACTGCCTGCCCCACTCCCCTGGACACAGCCCACCCCTCCCACACTGCCTGAACAGTTGTGGGCACTGGCAGGAGCCTAAGGAGTACCAGGAGAACCAGTGCATCAAGGTGCAGCGGGCTGGCGAGGACCCCAACAGCCTCGGCTTCCCTGGAAATGCTGCTCTTCTCCAAGGGCTTGGCCGGCACTGGTAGGCATCAGGGGCAGGGGGCACTGTGTGGATGGGGCCAGCCCTGGGAATGCTGGGGGGCTGCGCTGGGCTGGGCTTCGGGAGCCTGGGAGGAAAGCTGGGACTGGGGCCAAGGCAGCCTCCCTCACCCTCAAACCCACTTCCCCTTTTGTCTAGAGCTGTATGCCGCCTCCAGGACCGCTGCCGGTGCTAAACAGTGGAAGACCCCAGCTCCCAGAGAGAAGACCCCATTCTATCCCCAGCTATGATAATAAAGCTGCTCTCCCAGCTGTCTCTTGGCTCCTTGCATTACATACCTTCCTCCTTGGAGGCAGCCAGAGAAGGCAGAGGGACAGGACCCTTCCCGTGAGACCCCAGGAAGCCACAGGCAGGGTGATCAGAGCCTCCTGTGCTCCAGAGGCAGAGATGCCCCCATGAAATGCCAGGCAGGGATGCAAATGAAAACAGAAGCATTTAATAGATGTGCGGGTGAGAACGGGCAGAGAAGGTGCCCAGGAAATACAGGACCAGCCTGGATAGGCATATTTGCAAGGCAGGAGAGTTCTGCTTCCAGGAATGCTCTGGCCACTCAGCCTGCCTACTCTCCCAGCAGCTGGGAGTGGCGGCTGGCCCATCCCTGCCTTTCTTGCCTGTAGCCTCAGGAGGAAGTAATTCCCTCCACTAAGTCTCAGGCTGGAGCAGCCCCGAGTGGCAGCAGCAGTGGACACAGACTCACAGGCGGTGGGAGCCTTTACACCTTTCAAGGCCCCTCTGTGCATCCTTGCAGCACATGGAGGGAGGGTGGGGAGGGGCTTTCCTCAAGACAGGGATAAAGGAATAGCCCAGTAGGCAGGGCCAGTGGCCAGTGTGAAGAAACCAAGACAAGTGTGGAGGCAGGAAGGGGAGCTGTGGGCAGCAAGGTCACCTGCCAGTCTGTCCTGGGTCACAGCTGCGTTCAGAAGACGAAAGAAGAGGTGGGGCCCACGGAGCCAAGTGCCTGCTCGGCCTGGGCCAAGCTGTCGCTGGCCTGGCGGTCCAGGTCCCGGCACTCCTGCAGCGTGTCCTGGAACTGCCTGCAGGCCTCTTCCAGGATGGAGCCGCTCCGGCTGGGCCAGGACTCCCAGTAGCCCGGCTCCACCCAGGGCTGGGCCTCGGTGGCTCTGGGGCCTGGACTGGAGCTGGAACGTAAGGAGCTGTCCAGGTCTCGGCACAGCTGGTAGAATTCACTACCCCGCCCCATCACACGCTCACCATCGATGACTTTCAGGCCAGGCAGCAGCTCCCGGACTGCAGCCCAGTAGGAAGGGCTGGCACAGAGCGGGTTGCTGAGCCGGGTCAGAGGGTCTCGGAGCCGCAGGTACTCAAGGCACTGCAGCCCAGCCAGACACTGCAGCTGGTCCGGGGTGGCCAGTAGGTTGCCCGAGGCATTGAGACTCTGCAGGTTCTCACAGGCAGCCAGTGGCTCCAGGCCCGTCAGCCGATTGTTAGAGACATTGAGCACGGCCAGCTGGCGCAAGGAGGCCAGCGGGCCCAGGTGGGTGAGCGCGTTCCCTGATAGGTCCAGCCACTCCAGGCCCAGGCACTCTCCCAGGCACCCCAGGTCCGCCAGCCCCAAGCCACGCAGCTTCAGCAGCAGGATGGACTCCAGGGAGAACTCCCCTGTGCGTGACTTCAGCAGCTGGGGTGTGATTTGCAGCCCGCCAGCCTCTCCTGGCTTCTCCCCTGAAGGCTCCATGAGATGGAAGTCGGTTGGGATGGCCTGGGCCCTGGCAGGACTGTCAGGGTTCCACTGGGGATCAGCTGGTGCTCGCCCCGAAGCAGGCACCTTCCACTCTCCCCGGGGGCAGTGCCAGGAGACCTGGTTCTGATGCCCTGCTCAAAGCCAGCCAGTCCCTGAAGAGAGAAAAACAGTCAGCAGGCAGCACTTTGTGTCCCACGCAGCAGGTGACCGCAGGGAGTCTGACCCTGCTTTTACCATGAGAACCAACAATCTCAGCCAGGCAAGACCTAAAGACCAAGGTCTGGGACACAGATCACAAAAGCCAACCCAAGGGGGGCAGCCCAGACTGGCACCAGCTGGTCAGGGCCATGCTGGATGGATTCAGGCCTAATGTTACCAATTCTTTCTGTCAAATGCAGAGTAGGGGCGAAACATCATGATTTTACTTTTTCAGTAACACTCACAATGTCTCCTTATTAATTTTGCGGTGTTTCTTTTTTAAACAGTTATTTTTGAATAGACAATAGGTAACCAACATCACGAGTCTCTTTTGTATTCTTCATGGGATAACCAATGTATATGCAATACAAAGAAGAGTACACAGTGCCTTGTCTGAGTCACTCAGTATTACTGCAATTCTTTCTAACAGCAATGAGTTCAAACTTGTTTCCAGATTATTTGGGCCAACTGGTGCCTCTTGCTGGAGCTGTAGACCCTAAGAAGTTGACCTTTAGTCCTAAAGGATGAAACTGAGGTCAAGGTAGCAAATGGACAGGGAAGGCTGGGGTAAGTGGCCTGGCCAGGCCCCACACCACCTCACTGCCCGCCAAAGCAAGCTCTTCTGCTCTGGCCTCAACTGGACAGAGATCAACAAACAACAGCATGGTGCCAGCTGCAAATACAACATAAATTCCCCAAAGGGCAGCCCATCTCAGAGGGAGGAGACGGTGGCTCCAGAAAGCCAGGGGAGGGGCACATCAAATAGCCAGGGGCTGCAGGAGTGTGGCGCCAAGCAGAGGTGGCCTAGTAGAGGGACCTCAAGATTTAAGCAGTGAGAAAAACAACAGACGTCTCTCAAGCACAGCTTTCCCAGCCTGGCAGCCTTTGGCCAAGCCCAGCCCCGGGAGTCTCACCCAGGCTGGTGGGGTGACGCCTGCCCTGCAAATCCATGGATACAGGGTGGATACAGGGTGTCGGAGACTCCGGAGTCGGGAGTTTACATGTCAGCACTTGCATTTTCCCTCTCCAAGGAAACCAGGCCCAGAGCCTGGTCTACTTAGCTCCTCCTCCCACCCCGTCAACAAAGATATTTACTGTGTTCCCAGCCAGGGAGCTGTTGAGGATGTAAATGGGTCTTGCCATCCTTATGCCCTCTCCACCCCACCTAGGAAGTGGGTCCTTGTGCTTGTGGTCCCCATTTCCTTATCTAGCTCCCCTCTAGTCTGCAAGACTCCAGTTCATTCTTTTTTTTTTTTTTTTGAGATGGAGTTTTGCTCTTGTTACCCAGACTGGAGTACAATGGCACGATCTCGGCTCACCACAACCTCTGCCTTCTGGGTTCAAGCAATTCTCCTGCCTCAGCCTCCTGAGTAGCTGGGATTACAGGCATGCGCCACCATGCCCAGCTAATTTTTATATTTTTAGTAGAGACGGGGTTTCACCTTGTTGACCAGGATGGTCTCGATCTCTTGACCTCGTGATCCACCTGCCTCGGCCTCCCAAAGTGCTAGGATTACAGGCTTGAGCCAGCGCGCCCGGCCTATTTCATTCTCCTTATACCTCATTTCTTTTCAAAAGGGACTGGAAGCATCTGCTGAGAAGTGTGGATTCCCACAATGGGAATGGAATCTTCTGGGGTTTGTAAACAGGGAGTGATGCAATCGACTTTGCATTTAATTAAAGCTGCTCTGCTGCTCTGGCCCCTAGGGTTGGTGGGGGGGTGGTGCAGGAGGAGCACCAGGCGCTAGATACCTGTCTGCTATGAAAACAAGCAAAAGATACAGGCCCTAAGGAGGGCAGGAAGTGATAGGGAGGAGAAAAAAGAGCCTAGGACAACTGGGGATGGGGCTGGGTGACCGTATGCAAGGGGCTCCCCCTTTTTTTTTTTTATTGAAACAGAGTTTCACTCTTGCTCCCCAGGCTGGAGTGCAATGGAGTGATCTCAGCTCACCGCAACCTCTGCCTCCCAGGTTCAAGCAATTCTGCCTCAGCCTCCCAGGTAGCTGCGATTGTAGGCATGGGCCACCATGCCCAGCTAATTTTTGTATTTTTAGTAGAGACAGGGTTTCACTATGTTGGTCAGGCTGGTCTCGAACTCCTGACCTCAGGTTATCCGCCCGTCTTGGCCTCCCAAAGTGCTGGGATTACAGGTGTAAGCCACTGTACCCGGCCTGAGGCTTCCTTCTCAGATATGTGAAATGCAGGTGGGACAGGTTGGAGACAAGAAGACATCTTGCTACACAGCACTGAGCTTGATTGACAGTGTGGCACAGGGCTCAGGAGGCAGCTGGAGCTCTAGGCTAGAGGGATGCAGGCACCATCAGCAGGGTGATGGCAGTTGGCATCAAGAAGGGCATGCAGCACATGGGGCCACCGTGCTGGGGATACAAAGCTAAGAACCCAAAGGCCTCTCTCTAGGAGCAGGCACCCCTCCCATATACCTGCTACTTCAGGAGTGAATGTAGAAGGTGCCCTGTGCACAGTGAGCAGCAGAGGTGCAGGCTGACCTATGAGGCTGAACGAATGAGTCCATGAAGGATCCTGCCAAGCAGCCAGAGGAAGGAGAACACGGGAGACTTTTAAGGAGCGAGACCAATACTGCTAGGACACCCCACTGGACTCAGATGAGATGAGGCCTCAAACACAGCCACTGGATGAGCAGTCCTGGGCACAGGTGAGGCCAGAGCAGGACGGCAGAGGTTAAGAAGTGAATGCTCTGAGGGTCAGTGCCTTTTTAGATGGAGATGATGGCTCAGCAAAGGGAGAGACCAGAGGAGCAGGCAGACAGGGGCAGACAGGCGGACAACTGTGCATGCTCACATCAGGAACATGGATCACAGAAGAGGAAACAGAGTGGAAAGACCCCACCGGGACAGAAATTGGCCCTTTCCTGCTGCCCTCCAGCACACAGTCCTGCACCAGTGTGGCCCCGTCCTGCCCTCACCACGATGCAGGCCGCCTGGGTCTTGCTAATGGGTCATACAACACCCTCATTCTCTTGGGGGTCAGTGACCTCTGCTGTGTTCCTGGTCCATCATCTGCACACTGTAAGCAGGTGGCCTGGGAGGACTGAGAACCAGCTGGTGCCCACCTGCGCAGACTCAACTAACGTCAGGCCGCCCACAGCCACAAGGAGGATGGCTTTCCACACGTCCGCCTGCTTCGGCACTCCTCTACAATGGGAGCCATTCTTGTCCGAACTGTGGAAATACAGGGAACAGAGACTTCCTGGCCCAGCAAGAGTCTGGAAAGAGGACTGGTGACAAGGATGACACTTGGGCCCCTTCAGAGGGAGGCTGACTGAGAACCAGGGAAGATGGTCCCAGGCCTTGTTGAGTGTCATCTACCTGGGAAATGATGCCTGCAGGGCACAGCTAAGTCTAGGGGGAGGAACACTTCAATCCAGAGCAGACTCGGGTGGACTGGAGGCTCTAACTAGCGCTCCAGAAGAGGTCTTCTCAACCCTGGCGTTACTGCCACCTGGGTGGGCTAAGCCTCGGTGTGGAGGCCGTCCTGTGCATTGGAGAGTGCTGAGCAGCAACCCTGGCCTTTGTCCACTAGACACCAACAGAACCATTCCCCTTACCCCACTTGGAACAACTACAAACGCCTCCGACATTGTCAGTGTCCACTGTGGGACACACTGCCCCTAGATCACAGTGAAGGCTCTAGAGTCCAAGCCCCGCAGCTCAGTGCCATCAAGCTCTCTCCCCCTCTTCTTTCACCCCCCCACCCAATCCTCTCACGTGTTTCCCCCGAGCCTCGCTGCCTCACCGTCCTAGGCCTCCCAGTCCTCTCCTGGAACACAAGCCCACTCGGTGATGCCGACAGCAGAGGGACGACACCATTTCCAAGAACAGCTCAGACTGCTCAAGGATGGCAGCACAGATATGCCAGCCAACCTGAGGATGCATCACAACCCCAGATCCTCTCCGCCCTGACAAGTGAACCAGGATCCTGGGGGCGAGGTGCAGGACACTGCAGGGAGATCCAGCAAGCCCTGCCCCTACTATCCAAATGCTGGCTTCAGAGCCAGGGACAGCAGTGAGGCCCCTCCCAGACAAACCTGGCCTCCTACCACCCAGGAGCCTGTGAATTTGTCTTCACCATCCCACTCCCACACCGAGTGTTACAGGTAGGGGAGTGATCTAAGCAATTTGGAGGCCAGACTTTCATCCAAATCATGCTACTCCAGACATTAAAAATGATGCTCACAAAGCTTTATTTAAAAGGTGCAACTATTATGCTGTGAAAACGAAAATACTGCATACTAAATAGTATCTAGGGTATCATCTCAATGTAAAAAAGAGAAAAATGTCAAACTATTGACAGAGGCCATCTCTGAATGAAAGGAATATAATTTTTCCTGCTTTTACATCTTCAGCAGTGTGCAAATGTCATAATGAATTGGTCACAGTGAAACACAGGGCCGACAACCCGTCCAGGAGAGGTGAGGGAACAGGCTCCTGGGGCTGCCAGCCAGTGAGGGGAAGTCTGTCCCCTCACCCCAAGGCCAGTGACATGCTCCAAGTTAGGCCTGGAGCCTTCCCCTGCCTCTTCCAACCTGCATCTCAGCAGCCACCGTGCCCAGTGACCAGGAACCCTCAGGCTACCTGGATACAAGTCTTGTGGGGGTAACGAGCCTCTCCCCATCCTCCTTTTCCTGTCCAGTCCCACTGGTCCCTGGATCCCAGGTCCTCAGCTCTACCCTAAAGGAACTCTGAGCAATCCAGGATGAGTGTGTGCTACACACATCGTTTCTCTTCTTCAATAAGGGACCTTTAAAAATGGCCCAGGACAAGCAGGGGCAAGGGTGATGGCCGGCAGGGTGTACAGCCACCAGGAGCCCAGGAGAGACTGAGGCTGCTGTTACTGGAGGGAGAAACCCCAAGGTTTCCAGTAGTCTGGAAATAGACTATTGGTAAGCAGGCCATTTGAGGATTGGTATCTCAGC